ACAGGTCGGGGAGGCACGGGCACTCTACAACATCGGCAACGTGTACCACGCCAAGGGCAAGCAGCTGTCCTGGAACGCTGTGCAGGACCCTGGCCACCTGCCGCCCGACGTCCGCGAGACGCTGCGCAGGGCCTCCGAGTTCTACGAGTGAGTGAGGCGGGTCGGGGCCCGGAGCTAGGTGAGCCACTGGGGCTGGGCGCGTCCGTGCCTTCCTGCATTCCACAAACGCTTCCTGAGCCGCCATGCACCAGGCACGGAACACCCCACCTGGCCCCACACACCCATGAACCCCGCCGGACAGCTGACGGCCAGGCTGGCCCTGCTCTCCCTTCCCCACCTGCAGACACTCCCCCGCCCAACTCGCACCTGTCAGGGACTGGCAGGACCTGACCCAGCCCCGAGGCACAGAACTAAGGAACCTGTCTCTCTTTCTGGGACACACCTGTGAGGGCCACGTGGCAGCCACACGCCCAGCATCTTCTTACTTGGGGTGGGTGGGGCCGCGAGCCCACTTCTCTGCTGCTGGAGGGACACAGCTCACACAGACTTCGCCCCCAGGAGGAACCTGTCCCTGGTGAAGGAGCTGGGTGACCGGGCGGCCCAGGGCAGGGCCTCTGGCAACCTGGGCAACACCCACTACCTGCTGGGGAACTTCACAGAGGCTACGACCTTCCACAAGGAGGTGAGCAGGCGTGGGTGGGGCTGCTGCCCGTGGACACACAGATGAGGGACGCGGCACCCGGCCATCCATGTCGGGTCTCAGGGCTGCTGCGACCCCCTGGGCCTCTGGTCTGTGTCCACAGCGCCTGGCCATTGCTAAGGAGTTTGGAGACAAGGCGGCTGAGAGGAGGGCCTACAGCAACCTTGGGAATGCCCACGTCTTCCTGGGGCGCTTCGACGTGGCTGCCGAGTACTACAAGTAGGCAGGCAGAAGGAGGGCCCGGTGGGGGTGGGCACCAGGCCAAGGAGGCGCCCACCTAAGGTGGGGTGAGGGTCTGGCCGCCTGACGGGTCTGGCCGCCTGACCTCCCCCGGAGCCAGGTGGGCAGATGGACATAGCTGGGGAGTCCCTGACTCAGGCCAGGGCTCTGGGCTGTCTGCCTCCCAGCCTGTGCACCAGAGCGGTGGCTGCCGGGGGAGCCTGTGTTGCAGCACCAGGTCCTGTGCTGAGCTCTGAACACCCCTGGGCTGAGCAGTGGGTGCTGCTGTCCCAGGTCTCTGTGGAGGAGCAGCGGCTCAGGGTGGTTCAGGGGATAGCCAGGACGGGCAGAGCCTGGCGGGAACCCATGTCAGCCTGGGACCAGCAGAGTCGGGC